GGGCAGCAAAACGCAATTGAAACCTTCGGGATCCAGTGTAGGAAGCAAGTAGGCTAACTATGACCGCAGCAAACATCCTGAAGGCTATGTAAGAGCACCGAGCCTTTATTTGAACACAGCTTTCTCCCGAAGATGAAGGAAAACAAAGGCACATTGTTCGATATCATCTTAATGTTATATTGCTGAAGGAGCTACTAGCGTGATGAAATTATTGCGTACAACGCCATTCATAGAATTACACGAGTTGTTAAACAAACCGATAGCGAGACCTATTGGGTGTGAATGACGACATCGGCTGAGGTTCGTCTGTTTTATTCATTCGTGCCTAAACAGCTCTAAGCTTCTTTTCGCACCTAGAGTACAAAGAATAATTTTATGGGTTCAATGGTTGGTTTGCTGTATATTCATTGTATTTGCAGTATAATATGACACAAACTACGCAGTGCATAGTCAATGAGTTCCGTATTACTGATTTGCCTGGAGAATCGTTGGATCTGCAGATTACGAGGTAGTTCTGAGCCTCAATCGAGTAGCGCCTTGTATTTGGATGTGGAATGGTTAATATTTTTTACATCTACAATAATGACATATATGTTATCTATTTATCGTACTATCATTTATGTTTTTTCTAGACTTTTTCACACTTAGTTTTCCGGGTTTTTGTATACTTTACCATTGCTACTTACTATGAAACCCTTGACATTGGTCGTGAATAAAAACTTAAATCAAAATGGAACTGGTTTTGCATGCTAAATTTATTTGCTTTGACTGTAACAGGCTGCAATACTTATTTACCTCTGATAGATCAGCTGATAACAACACTATACGACATGATGTGATCATCGATCTGTATTATTACTTGGGATTGATGTGTTACAGCAACACCCCGACAGAGTGTGATGCTTTTAAAAATGTAACGTAAATATTCTCTTTTGAAATGCAAAGAAACTCTTTTGAAACGTGAGTTTACATGAAGGTGGGTGTGCCTAAAGGTGTGACCAGTCAACACTTGGGTTTTCTCAAATTCTGTCACTAGCTGTATAGAAGAAACCACATTATGCCAACGTTCTTCCTTGAATTCCCGTTTGATCCCTCTCCATACAGATGTCGAGTGAACACAAAAGTATAGTAGGTATTGCATTAGTACTGGTATTGTACTAAAATCAACCGCCATAGCAAGTCTGGAAAACTGCCATAATAACAATGTAACAGCATCCATTTATAGAAATGTTAACTTATTTAAAGATATAAGAAAAAATATACCTCTCTAAGCAATTGTAAATGCGTGTAAATGTGAGGTTAAATTTTTGCTTCACCGGTGATTCGCTACAGAGTATGAATCCAGATTGTTTTGAAGCTACTGGGAACGCGTGGTATCACAGTTGGTTGTAGAAAACCTCTTTGGAACTACAGTAAAAACACTTAATAATAGTATCGCCACTCAAAACCACCTCTAAAACTGTATTAGGCTTATGGCTTTCCCCGATATATGTGTTTGTGTTAAATTTCCTCTTACATGTTTTTTTTTAGTGGTTTTTGCATCGTAGACTGCTTTTGTTTTGGTCTGACTTATGTTCTGACAGGTTCCTCATTTATATAAGTATATTTTATAAAATCTCACAAGCCTATTTAAATAGTATTCCAATTGTAATTCAAATCACGTCTGTGCCCCCCGAACAGCTATGATATCCCATTTAGTCAACACAATCCCCAACGTGTCTCACAATTTACGAAGACTATCCTCAGTGACGGCGTTACACAAGGTGGTTGTTCAGTTACTCTGCTATTATTCTGCTTTCTAAAGACTTCAGCGCATAAAATGTTTATGAACCGTGCAAAACATCGACACTGCAGTCAGATTTTGCAACTACTTTTGTCCCACTGCCTTTCTGAAGGATACGTCATATACCTGCAGTGTACCATAAACTTACGTAATGGATCGTGAACTGATTTGGTGTTCTGATCTCCGAACGTTTGGGAATACATGTTTCGTCAATCTGAATGACGTTTGGATACGTTTTTATTTTACTTGTCATACACCCCAGTATTAATAAATTTCGCCTCCTTCGTTTGATACATTCTTAATAAACATATTTGAAGGTATGTTTGTATTTGATTTATATTTGTTAATCAGTGTCCATGACAAAAAGGCCCAAAACAAACTTAACTCATATGAAAACAATGTTAAGAGCGCAGTCTAACTTTGCAGTATAAAATATTTAACTCGTACTGAGGCAAGCTATTGCTCTAAATTTAGTATAACATTCTTTTAGCTTACTATTTATCTTCCAACGTGTGTTGACCCTGAATGATTACACAACGCTGTCAGACGTCGTATATTCCTTACATCGCGTCACTCTTCCTTGCATTTTATTCCTCTCCTTTGTCCATGCAATAAATAACGTTTACACAATGGTGTCCTATACCATGATAGCGCTACTGTAAGTACCCCCTCCTTTCACCTTATATTTTTGCCCTTGCTATTGTAATGCTATCCATATGTTCCGGGTAGCTTCATATTCAATCCTCGTACATTGTAACACAAGAAGGGAAGTATAAGCCAAACAGTGGCGCCCATATTGTCTTTCTTTGAATTTTACTCTCCATTGTTTTTATATATTTATTTTATGTAGAAACTTTAATAAAACCAGCCATAATAATTTCGTTGTTGGCTATTCTAAGCAGCTTAAATAGGCATGTAAGAGCTAAATTAAAATCTTTGTGTATGGATATTCCATTAAAGGATTTTGTTTAATATAATGGAAAATAATGTTTTATTTTATTTACTAAGCAATTAGACCAGATTGACAGTGCTCCCCATCAACTTTCATAATATGAAAACCTAGAAGAACCATAAAATGTTATAACAGGATTCTCCCTATTCTTACTACATAATATATATTAATTGTGCATGAAATGTATTTTACTGTATAATAAACTGACATAAATATGAAATGTAGGAACTGGGTGACTGTGGCTTTGACGGCCCCTGGTTTTAGCCCCCGGAGCTACAAAAGCCCGACCCATAATCTTGTGAGTTTGTGTGTGTGTTGCTCAATCACGCATAAACTACTGGACGGATTGGGCTGAAATTTGGCATGATGATAGCTCACATTCCCGATTCACATTAAGGCATATTTTTATCAAAGAAATCCTTTTGGGCTCCGCCCCAGTGGCTATGTAGTTCCCATGTTAACCTTATGAGTATTCATATTTAAAGGGAATTAAAAAATTTAGTCAGCTGTTTCAGCTTTACAAGTTGGTTCTATAATATTCAATAGCATTTAAAAGTTATAAGGTTTCCCAACAGTGTGCAGCACTATTATTATTTTGTTTTTGCATATATGACAAAAGCTAATTTTCAGCAACAAAAAGCTGTGATACACAATGAGAACTGTCAAAGTAAGATTGTTTACAGTTAGGTTTGAGTTTTTAATTTAATGAATAATTTGTGATATTGTGCGAATGTTTGATAATTTGTTTATTTATTCTATTGTTTAGGTGCAGTGGTAGAACATTATGGCAATGGTAGATGTGTTATACTATATCAAACCGTAAATTTATGTACCAAATTTTATCAAACTGTGTACTCCCCCCCATTGCAAACGCAAAGCTTGAGTATAACTGCAATAAGCATTTTATACTTATATGCCAACCCCATACGAAGGACGGGTGCTCTGCTAGTAACTATATACATCCATAATAATACACTAATATTACCATCAATATTACTTACATTAATAAAACAATATTAACATAACAAGTATTTAAAAAAAATATCTCTGATCAAATATTATTGTTTAGGAATATATTATTCCTACATTATTTGAAAACCACCAACAAAATGTATTAAAATTATGTAATTGTAAATGATATTGTATTCTTGTAATTGAATTAAGTTTTCCTCCCAAATAGCTTGAAGCTAGAGAGGTAAATAAGGCACTGCAGTGTACAACAAAAATTTTGCATGCAAGAAATAAATAAATTGAAAAATTGAGGATGAAAAGTAGTGCAATTGCAATACCTAATATCAATGTTTTAAATATTGGTGGATGGATAAGAATTTACTAAGCATCACAAAGAAAGATGGATCAAACCCGTTGTCAGATCAGAAAAATAATAATACGTTTAAGGTTCCAATTCAGAAAGCTAAAATAATACGTGAAGGTCTGTATGAATGCAATGGAAGTAATCATTGAAGGCTGAGCTGAATTAAAAGTAAACTTGTATCATCCAAAGCCAATGCTGTAGTTGTAAAGCCCCCCATACACTATCCAACATGTTGGACGGACATGTCGGGATCCGACGTCTTGTCGAACATATTGGACAGTGTGTGGGTTCCGACCCGACATGCTCGACGGATATGTCAGGTCGGATGCTCGGTCCGGTAGCACCACCCGACTCGAGCCGTCCGCCTGACATGTTGGCCACAGTTTCCAGTTAACTTGTACTTAGCGAGTTGTGCGTGATAACCGTCCCATTTTTCCATAATGTCATTTAATAATAATAAACAGTTCTGGTCAGAATTTTTTAACTCTACAGAGACCAGAAGGCGTTGTGGGCTGTCAAAAGTAAACTCTATTGCAACAAACATGCACATAGGGGCAGGATATCCTGATGGAAAAGTGCAAGGAACTGTATCAAGAGTGTGATTTAAAGTTCGTTAAAAATAAAATTGAAAATTTAAGAGCCTAGTTCCATAGGCTCTAAAAATCCCTAAAATCATCGCTGAAAATCCCCCTGAAACAGCTAACAGTCGTCTCAAAATCCATCTCAGAACTAATATTTCACCTGACTTGTTGGGTAACATGCTCGATAGTGTGTGGGAAACACCCGACATAAGTCAGGTTGGATGATGGGTCCGTCGTCAGGTCAGGTTGTCAGGTCGGGTGGCATGTTCGATAGTGTATGGGGGGCTTTAACTCTGTGCCCACTGAGGTACAACGTTGTATGTGCCCTACGTTATGGATGTTGGCTGATTGGCATTTCTCTGTTCACAGCTGCGTCGTAACGTTGCAGACGTTTGCACGCAGTCTTACCATGACGACCAGTTTCTTCTGCGATGGCTTAGAGGTAATATACAAACTTAGTAAAAACTGTCTTCTTTAAATACGACCTATATGCAAACTATACAGAAAAATCTCAATCAATCTTAAGGCTTATTTTAATGAAAATCTCTTGTGAATTTGTAAAACTGTGACAGAATCGAAACTTTATCGTAATGTAAACATCTATGATGAGAATCAAAAGATTAACAAAGTAAAACAAACAAACTATAAATTTAAAAAAAATCTTATAGCTGCATCTTCAATATTTTAAATGTGAATATATATAGCCCTTAAATTATTGAGGTGTGTGCCCTTAGGAGATAGTTTATCGCAAAACTGATATTTTTCGGGAAGTTTCACGCGAAGAGCTTTTAGCTTTACCCCTTAGTTGACCTTTTGAAACTTAATGATTGTCTACGTTTACATTATGATAAATGTAATAGTTTTTATTCTGCCACACATAAAAGCTTGATAATATGCCAACATAAGAGACCTTCATTTAAGTAATAAGTAAGATTGAGCTTTTCGTCTAGGATTTCTGGTAAGTGGGTTGTAATTGTTTATGTATACAGTAGTAGAATCTAAAGAAAAAACGCATTATTCTCTTCTGAATTCTCAACCCGTAGCGAAGCACGGCAGAGCAACTAGTATTATAATATAAAGCTAATAAGTATCTCGAACTTTTGAGAGATCTGTACTCTACTGTCAAGAGAGATGAGTAGCGATACAAAATCAAAATGTTTTGTAAAGATCGGAACACATACAGGGTGATTGATATAAGTGTGCCAGACGTTTTATTCGAAAACCATAAGAGATATCAAAAAAAGTTAAATGGTAAGTGCCTTGGACTTTTTATTAAAAAAAATTGTAGTAAAGTCGAAAAAATTATTTTAGCCGCCATTTTTCCAATATGGCCGCCAACTTTGATTTTTCTTATGGAACACCCTGTATTTTATGATGTATTCTGGTAGAAAATGTAATTTTAAGACGATTTTATTCTTGTGATTTTTTTCATAAACCTTACCGTTTTAAAGATAATAATGGTTTAAGTTGTGAAATTTTGAATGGGTTTTCGGTGGTTTTCGAATAAAACAGCTGGCATGCTTGCTTAGGCCTTTATCGAAGCTCTTTCTCATGCAGAAATTTCAAAACTTTAACCATTATTATCTTTGAAACGGTTAGGTTTATGAAAAAAATCACAAGAATAAAATCGTCTTAAAATTACATTTTCTACCAGAATACATCATAAAATACAGGGTGTTTTATAAGAAAAATCAAAGTTGGCGGCCATATTGGAAAAATGGCTGCTAAAATAATTTTTTTGACCTGACTACAATTTTTTAAATACAAAATCCAAGGCACTTACCATTGAACTTTTTTTGATATCTCTTATGGTTTTCGAATAAAACGGCTGGCACACTTATATCAATCACCCTGTATAATTTATTTCACTGTGTTTTTATTTCCTACGGCAAAAGAAAGAGTAATTAAATATCCTATATTATGAATATTAATTAAAATTTACATAAATTTTAAATGAACAGACTGATTTACTAAATTTCCTAAAAGTTCCTAAATTTTACGATTACTCATTACATTTTCTGTAATAAAAAATCATCAACTCTCATCAGTAGTTTTGAGATTTTTGGATAAACACTGATTTCTTTTGATTTTCTACGACGTTTTGCAAATAATGCAACATTATACAACAATTATCATTCTGGGAAACTAGCTGTTACCCACGGGCTTCTTGGCTTCACCCCATTGGACTTCACAAGTATTAATAAAACTATTGATATGGTTAAAAGCTTAAATAAACAACACAGAATACAGTAATACAAACAAAAATTAAAAGAATAAACAAATAAGTACAGCTGAGGCATTTTTTTTTACATAAGTATGGAAAGTTCCCTTCAGAATGTAGTTACGACCTTAAAGCAATTCATGAAATAATGGATACTTTTGTGCAACGTGTCTCGTCATGACGAACATTTTAAGTATATTGTTTATAGAGGTGTGACTCATAGTTTTCTCAAAAGTTCATGGGTACTTTGGGATTTATATATGGATTGTACTACCTTTCATTTTATAGAATCCTTGTATTGAAATTTGAAGGTACACAATTAGTCTACTATATTTTAAGAAGAAATTTGGACCACTCCAATTTTGGAAGCCAACTTTAAGACATGGGCTTTCACCATTTGAACGTGTAAGTGAAGGCATTTGTTCTTATACTCTAAATTTATTGGAAGTTGATGTGTAAACTGTATAACTCTAAACAGATATTATTTGTTACTTATGTCATTTTGACTGATGATATGCCTAGAACTTTAGCAATCCTTAAACAAAAACCTAATTATTTATAAATTATTTTTATACAATTTTCCATTTTATATTCAGCAAACTTTTTTAGTTGTTCAAACTGACTTTCAAATGACTATTTTCTACGGTTGTTTAATATCCATGGGTAACCTTTGCCTTGGTCAGGTAGATTAAGTAAAAATGTTATTGCAGTTCAGGATATTGTGCGTCAAATACGACAGTAGACAAATACGACAAGAGACTAGGCGACGAGGCGAAGAAAGACTGTGGTGTCAAACAGTAATTTTAGTCATATTTTCAGTTGAAATTGAATATTAAAAGTACATTTTATGTAGGTAGCCATCAATCCCACCAGCCTGGTAAGCGTCTCGGACTCTAGCGTGATAGTGACGAGTTCACACACCGACAAAACTACTAAAGCGTCTGCGGTTTGAACATTTCCTTAAACACTTTCAATGCCCTTTATCGTAAGTGACAATAGCATTATTCAAACTCGTATCCTATTGAATAAGTTGATGTACAGATTGTTACCGTAATTCGTGATGACATTGTTCAAAGCGGCGTGGCACGACTTCATAGTGGGTTTCCTCGAGCGTCATCAGGTCACTTTATAGTCCATGCTGGTCACGTGACTCAAGGACTACTGACAGCCTTGGCTCCTTCCACAGCGTTCTTTAGTTAAACGCATATGTTAATTAGGACACGTGATGTTTACAGCTACACCTGGCAAATCTTGCGTAAACATTTACAAGCAATGATTTTTTTTTACCCCTTTAAAAGTCAAAGTAGGACATCCACCTCTTGTGAATTCTCATCAAGAAAGAGCTTTGTCGGGAAAGATCTAGTGAAGTTTTGATAACTGATGAGAAACAATCAGCGAAGGATTCACACTTGTCTCTGTCATTCTCAAGCATGAGCCCATTGTTGGTCATAGTCGAGGTAATGCTAGATCTACTCCCTCGGTAAAAAGATTTAAAAAAAACTCCACAAAATGTTTGGATTGTGAGGAAGGACTTCTTGGATGTGATCGGCTTTGATTGTGTTGATCATAGCCTAGTCTCTTGCTTTGTAAATTGGAGCACTGCGGTATTCGTTGTTGTCCCCTCCAATTTTTTAAGTCTTATTTAAGCGGTCATGCACAGTTTGTTGATGCAAAGGGTGTGCATTCCAGGTGCATTGAAGTTAAAACTGGGGTTTTTGTTACTTCAGAAAAAGGCACTTAGAATAGTAACCAGATCAGCTCTCAAAGCCCATTGTAGACGCTTGTTTATCAGAACTAGGATTTTGATTGTCATTCATTTAACTGTACGTATATGTGTACTTGATGTTAAATTATAATTAGGAGACTTGGCTGTTATAAAATATTTCCATTCTCATTGCACTATATCCAACTCTCTACTTGAAATTACGTCCCATAGACTAAGTAAATGTGCCAGTAACCATTCCATCATGACAAGATTAAAAGTTGTTCAATGTATTGTACTATGAGTCAAGAGTGTTGCCCGAGTCTGTTTTTAAAGATAGGCTATATTTGGCTAGTTGAACATCCTTTTATGTGATTATAAAGAGTTTTTTGTATGTAAAACATGTTGAGTTCTCATGTTTTAATTGTTTTATCTAGTATATTCAACCCTTCTATTTAGCCAACTTTTTACTTTTATATTTTTACCTGTTATTGTCTGTGATAACGTTATTAATCTAGTCTGATTGGGTTACTGTGTAACTCTATGTTACCGTATTATGTCACCATATCTATTGCATGAAAATTATTGTTTTCTGATTACCCACCCTCCCTGTAGCAACAAACTCATTAAACTTAAATTTACTGAAATAGATTTCATTGAAAATCAAATCAGGCAAATGAAAATTCGCTTAGTCTGCAGGTTTAAGCCAAGTATGAATGGAGATGAGTGTAGGATGAGTGGCGTGATCTTGTAGTCTTGTTAGTGACTAAGGATGACTTATTCCTTAGACACAGCTGTTTATTAATTAATCAATGGACGACTACTGTCTGTGAAGTTTATGGCGCTAGTAACCGGAATGGAGTAAAAACCGATGAACATTGAACACCTCAAAGAGGATAGAGGTTAGGAAAACTTTTGAACATTCTGTATAATTTAAGTAAAAGTGTTTAAACTCACACACACCAGCTGGGTTGAAGGAAAGGAGTTTTCATCACTCCTCACCGAAAGTAACTATTTTTGATAACAGCTGACATCAATGAAAGTAGCCGTTTCCCAAGCTCTAATTTAGGGCGAGGGAAAATCGATCAGCTGATTTTCCCTCGCACTAAATTTACTTTCCCTCGCTCTCAATTAGTTTTCCATTTATTCACTACGCGCGCTAGTGTTTTGTTAAGGTTTAACTAAATGATTTAAATCAGCTGTATGTATTGTTCAAAATCGTTTTATTCTTTTATTTTGATGTTTGAAGTATTGAGAAATGTACGAAGGTTTCCTTTAGAATATTTTATTTTATTTTTATGTTTTAAAAATCAAACAAAAACGAACATAGGTTTACTTTTAGAAGATTTTATTTTATTTTTATGTTTAAACTAATTGTTTGATAGATAATTATTGTAATCCTAGCCACAGTGCCCGTTGTGGTTAAATACAACGGTCTCTAGTAAAATAATGGTTATGAAATCCATACACCACTTTACTCACTAATATTAATGGTACAGTTTAAGCACATTACATTAGAATCACACATTTAACATAAGGAACACACTTGAAACATAAATGCAAATTGTTAACAACAACATTTAATCAAAGAAAAATTAATTAGATAACAATATAACAATAAGCTGTTGAATTATTAACACATGTTTCGTATGATTATATTGTGCATACTGGTAAACCAATTAGTGCCATCTATAAAAATAATTGGTTTTTCTTTTCCGAGTCGAGTTAGCTCTTCTACCCGACTGATTTTCATAATGTTTGCCTTAAACTAAAGGTATGGACGTACCGCAGATTTGCCATCAAGCATCGGCATTTATTTTGACGTATATTTCGAGTTATGCACAAACTGCCTCCCTGTACATTTCTTATGGGAGTTAAACTTAGTTTTTTTCGAGTTCAATGTTTCGCAGGCCTGCGATGGTTAGGAGGGCTCTTCTACCTAACCGAATTTCATAATTTTGGTCTTAAAATAAAGCTATGCAAGCACATATTTGTTATCAAGCATCATCATTAATTTATCTAATGTATTATTCGACAAAAGATTTTTTTTCTCTTCAATTAAAGATGTATTCCAGCAGTTCTAATTACACTATACATTTTGGTCTAAAAACCTTAAGTGAAATACCAGCTTTCATTTGAGCTATTGATTATTAAGATCGGACTACCTAAAGCACACTGCTGAATCACGAATCAACAATAAATACAATCGTTTTAGTACCTATCTGCAATCAATGATACGTAACTCTATTTTTATTTAAGTTATTTTATATGTCTTGGTCTTAAAATACTCCAAAGGCTTTCACTTGAGATATTGATAGTTTTAATCAGTTAAGTTCAAGATACTGTATCGCTCAATCAGAAAATATAAATTTGATTATATCTTGGATGTGGAATTTAGTTTTAGATACATTTACTTAATTCTAATTACGTTATTTTATTTGTTTTGACCTAAGAACCTTCATTGAAATATCGGCTTCCATTTCATTAAAGCACGCAGCTAAATCACGACCAACACAAATTGTTTAAAAAAATGGAGTTATTGATCATCGATTTATAGCCAAACAACCTTGCTTGCAAACTCAACAGTACTTTCATAATTATTTGCAAATCTTCACAAATTAGGCTATCCAATGACCTATTAATTAATAAAATCGGTTCAGTAGAGCTGTAGATTTAATTGTACAAAGTTTAACAACAACATATTTAATTCAGTATTTTCTCACTACCATAAACCTGGAGGTTGCTTAACGTTTTTGCAAATAACTTTGAAACGGTGAGGAAATTGACCAAAGTGGATGGTGATATTCTGAAAGAGAAATAAAAAGGAAATAAAATTTCCTACAAATTACTATTAAAAATTTCTTGAATATACTCAATAAAGGCAGCCTAAAGTTGGCTACAAATATAAAATTGAAAATATAAACCTAGAAAAAAGGAGTTTTAAATGTATTATTTTTATTTATTATTTTTTTACCTTAAATATCTAATAAAATCAAACTTTCATAATTATTTGCAAAACTACACAAATTAGGCTTTCCAACGACCCATTAAGTAACAAAATCGGTCCGGTAGAAGTCCAGATTTAGTTGTACAAAGTTTAACAAAAATATATCTAATTCAGTATTTTCTCACCACTATAAATTTGGAGATCACTTAGGTTATTGCCAATATCTTTTAAATGGAGGGGAAATCAACCAAAGTGAATGAGATATTCTAAAAGAGAATAAAATTTACTACAAATAACTACGATGCAATTCTTGAAAATACTTAATAAAGACAGCCAAAAGCTGGCTACAAATAGAATCTTGAAAACAGAAACTTGAAAACCCCAGTTTTTTTATGTATTTTTGTTAATTTTAATTTTTCACCACAAATATTTAATAAAATCACAATTTTATAACTATTTGCAAATCTACATGGGTTAGGCTTTCTAATGACCCATTAATTAACAAAATCGGTCCAGTAGAAGTCTAGATTTAGTTGTACAAAGTTTAACAAAAATATCCCAAACTCAATATTTTCTCATTACTATAAATTCGGAGGCTGCTTAGCTTTTTTGCAAACAACTTTTAAATGGTGAGAAAATCGACCAAAGTGGAAGGTGATATTCTGAAAGAGAATAAAATTTCCTACAAATTGATCCCATGCACTTCTTGGAAATATTCAAAAATGGCAGCTAAAAGTCGCACACGAATAAAAAGTGTGAAAAACATTGTTTTCAATGTATTTCTTATGGAAAACACGTTTTTTTGAATTTTTCACTATAAATCATGTCAAAAGCAAACTTTCATAATTATTTGCAAATCTACTCAACTTAAGCTTTCCAACGACCCATTAATTAATAAAATCGGTCCAGTAGAACTCTAGATTTAGTTGTACAAAGATTTTTAAAACTGAATTATATATAGAACTAGCTGTAACCCGCGGGCTTTGCCCCGTTTAACTTCTTAATTTTCAAGATTATCTCGTTCGCATGGCTCAATCACGTCCTGGTTGAAGTTTGTTCGCTACGCTCACTCACCTTTAGGTTGGAGCTCGTTCGCTACGCTCACTCACCTTTGGGTTGGAGCTCGTTCGCTGCGCTCACTTGCCTTCAGGTTAGCTCGTTCCCTACGCTAACTCGCCTCCAGGTTGAAGTTCGTTCGCTACGCTCACTCACCTTTTGGTTGCAAATTAGCTGTTGTCATAAATGTAAAAGAAATAATAGTGCTGCACCCTGTTGGTAATCCTTGTAACTTTAATGATATTGAACATCATAGAACAGAACCATCTTGTTTAATTGAAACAGCTGTTAAGATTCAATAATTCCATTTCTCATAAGGTTAACATGGGAAACTCCAGAGCCACTGGGGCGGAGCCCGAAAGGATTTTTGAAATAAGAATATGCCTATATGTTAATCGGGAATGTGAGCTATCATCATGCCAAATTTCAGCCCAATCCGACCAGCATTTTTCGCGTTCACTTGTCACAAACATACATCCAAACTTTCTCATCTGTACTATTACAAAAAAGAGGTGGTTGCTGTATGTGTGTATGTGTGTATGGGAAAAGTAAACTCGAAAAATACTGGTCGGATTGGGCTGAAATTTGGGATGATGATAGCTCACATTCCCGATTAACATATAGGCATATTCTTATTTCAAAAATCCTTTCGGGCTCCGCCCCAGTGGCTCTGGAGTTTCCCATGTTAACCTTATGAGAAATGGAATTATTGAATCTTAACAGCTGTTTCAATTAAACAAGTTGGTTCTGTTCTATGATGTTCAATAGCATTAAAGTTACAAGGATTACCAACAGGGTGCAGCACTATTATTTCTTTTACATTTATGACAACAGCTAATTTGCAACCAAAAGGTGAGTGAGCGTAGCGAACGAACTTCAACCTGGAGGCGAGTTAGCGTAGCGAACGAGCTAACCTGAAGGCAAGTGAGCGCAGCGAACGAGCTCCAACCTAAAGGTGAGTGAGCGTAGCGAACGAGCTCCAACCTAAAGGTGAGTGAGCGTAGCGAACAAACTTCAACCAGGACGTGATTGAGCCATGCGAACGAGATAATCTTGAAAATTAAGAAGTTAAACGGGGCAAAGCCCGCGGGTTACAGCTAGTTTATAATATTAGTAGGATAGATGTGAAAATTTGTGTTTTTTTGTTTGTTTGAAGTTCAATCACACATTAACTACTGGACGGACTGGGCTGAAATTTGGCATGATGATAGCTCACATTCCCGATTAACATATAGGCATATTCATTCTTATCTCAAAAATCCTTTGGGGCTCTGCCCCAGTGGCTCTGTAGTTCCCCATGTTAACCTTACGGAGTATTCATATATTTAAATGGAATTAAATAATTTAGTCAGCTGTTTCAACTAAAAAGTTAGTTCTATGATATGCAAAAGCATTAAAATGCCATAAGATTTACCAACAGGGTGCAGCACTATTATTTTTTTGCATTTACGAAAACAGGTAATTTGAACTAAGCAGCAACAAAAACTGTGATACAAAATGAGAACTGTTAAAGTATGATTGTTTACAGTTATGTTTAATGTTTTTAATTTAATGAATAATTTATGATATTTTGGACATTTTTAATATATTTTTTTATTGTTTAGGTGAAGTGGTAGAACATTATGGCTCTATGGTAGATGTGTAATACTATAGTATACCGTACATAAATAAAGAAGCAAATGTTATCAAACTGTGTCCTCCCCCATTACAAACACAAAGCTTGAGTACAACTGCAATAAGCATTTTGTACTTATATGCCAACCCCGTGGGTACACTGCTAGTCCTCCATAAGGAATAACATGGGGGTTTAAAATTCACATTTTTTTTAATTCCTCTCCTAACTATTAGGTGCATAATCATGCTTCAATATACTAAATAATTTAATTGGTTTTTTATGCTCTACAAAATGGTTTGGAAAGAAATTGTAAACTTTTATGTTATTAGGGTCAAAAATGGGAAAACGCAATTTTTACCATGCTGGTTAGCAAATTCGTTCTAATAAATGTACGTTGACATTTTTATACCAAATTTTATCAAAATTGGACCATTTTTGCTTGAGTTATCTCGAGTGATATATATAACAGTATATATACAGTATATGAATTCAAACGGATGATGGTGTTTTTGGCCTCCAGGGATTTCAAAACGAATAAGTAATTCAGTCCCGGGGGAAAGGTTTTATCTTGAGTACTATGGTAATAACTTATTCCCTATTTGGAAAATTCGTTAAAAGGGGCTCAAACAACAAGCTCATGAGAAATAGCATAGCCTATATTTTCTTACAGAACTAACAAAAAGTATTCTTGTTTCAGCAAGAAATTTCGATCCGGCTGCAGCGGAAAAAATGTTGCGAGATGTAAGTATGTAAAAATTCAAGTATGCAACCAGTACATTTAAGTAAAATAATCTTATTGTATCAACCACATAATTTTAAACATAGTTACATGACGGTTACAATTATACAAAAATAGAATACATTTCACATATCTTTAATAAAAATGTATCTTAGCAGTAATAATTACTATCTATATGGTGGAAAGGTATTTTGATAAGATTTTCCTAAATGCATATCACAGAGATACTACTGAACAAATAGCAATACAATTTGGAACTCAGCTTCTGTTTGGGTCCCAGATACATACAGTACGATGCTAAGCATGCAAAAATGTTGTGAAGTTATCTAAACAAAATAACTACTGTACCTCACAGTCTTAGTCTTAAACAGCACCAAGCAAATATTTAGAAATAAAAAGAGGAATAACTTACAACAAAATTGAGTAATTATTTATTTATTTATGGACTTGACCTTTATTATTTACTTGGAAACTGTTTGTAGTTGTGATCATAAAAATGTTCATTCATGGCTGATTCCTCACAGGTTATACAATTGCATAGATCTAATTATAGGACCATCTTTAGAAAAACAGAAATATTTATATTAACTTATTTTATATAATTATTACAATTATTTCACCAATATAACTTTGTGGTTGGAGGATAATTTTGTGAAGAGAACTGATTTTTCTCACTTTCTCCTAATTGAAAGGTGCCTCATATGGGGTCAAATACCCCATCTAGCTTTATTGACTAATTTATGCTGGGAAGACATAAAGCTGGATGGGCTTCACCTGATTGCCATGATGAAACTGTGGCTTCGGGTAGTTTATGTCATATCCCTTGGTTTGTTGTGTCATGTTGGTCCATAGTGATTGCCTATTACTGAACACAAAAGCCAATAGTTTTGATTACTTTTGAGTTAATGCAATGTTATTGCTTCAGGAAGACCAAATAGAATGACTATTTCACCATAGCAATAAGATTTCCTGATATTATGCATCTAACTTTCCATCCTACAGTAAATGTTGTTCTAAACTTTGTAAAATGTTATTGGAGTTTAAACGTCTAATTATGATGTATGTAACGTTTGAATTTTATGATATTAAAAACCTATTAAACAAGCTCTTCTTTTACTGTATCCACACTTTAAACACCGATATTTAAGCATAGATAAAGCATACTCCCTTAGTAGAATTCTCATCCTTATGGAACAGTTGAAGCCAATTTTATTGTTAGTTCTATAGCTGCACTGTATAGGTCGTGTTTTGTTTACAATTTGTTTCTTGGTATTTCAGTCATTTAAAACCAAGTAATACAATCTAATAATAAACAATAACTCGTCCCCTTAGTTATTCAACCAAACAGTAATGTACAAATCATGAAATTAACCCTAAAATAATAGAAACAAAATTTCGTTGACACTAGCGATCATTGTCGACTACAACTAGACACGAAAAACGAGATTCAAAATTTACAATTGGATGAGAAGTCTACTTGTGTTTTGGTTTGTCTAATGATTTAACCGACAACTACTGTTGAATACTGAAACTTCTCATCTATGTGGGCCAGCTGTAACCAACAGTTGTTTTCTTTAAGAATTTTTACTTTATTCCTCTATATGGAGAAAGTATATTGCTTTCATAAAAATTTTCGAGTTTGAGTGAATATATTGGATTTTGAAAGCCCCTGACCACAAAAAAATGGGTTTTGAAGTGATGTCTGTCTGTCTGTGTGTGTTGTTACTAATGTTGTGTTTACATCAGTCTCTATTTATGGATGTGTACAGAGCTATAGACTATAGCCTACCTGTGGTCCAATTTTGATGACATTTGGTGGTATGTGTTTAATACTAATCCGGTAATTTTTGTTTTTTTATTTTTAATGGTAAATTTTCTTATAAAAACCCCTATCAAATAACAGAAATAATGAATTTTTTCAAAAACGACCCGAACGATTTGGATAAAAATTTTAGTATGTTACATTTCTTTTAACTCTAAACAAAATTATATATCCCTATTGCTTATGGTTGTGGTGATGTGAATATTTGATAATATTTATTATTTGATTTGTTTGTAAATATTGTATTCGTTCTTAACTAAAACATGGTTGTAATTTTGAATGAATAAAAGCCATACTTTTGGTTTACTAATTCTTTCTTACAACAATTTTATTCATTTATTGATAAACTCAGTTAGTGCTACATTTCAATGGAGAAACTTCTTTGACCAGACAAATTGGAAATTGACCCGGAATCTCCAACTGCCTCAGAGGAATGGACACAACGGATAGTTACAAACATTCGAAAATTTTCTAACCATATGACAGAATTCATTGAAGACAAGGACAAACTGAAACTACTAACTATAATCGATTATCTTTTACGACTTATAGATTTATCAAGGAATCTGAATCTTACAAAGACGCTTTGAGAGTTCTTAACTCAATTTACATCAAACAAAAGAATGAAATATTCTCAAGATATTTAGTAATGACTAGAAAACAGCAACAAGGTGAGACTATTGACAAATATGTGTCGGAACTGAAACTTTTGAGCCAAGATTGCGTTTTTGAAGCTGTAAATGCGATTCAATACAGGGATCACTACATTCGTGATGCTTTTATCAATGGCTTAGCCTCGTCATACATACGTCAGAGACTATTTGAAAATAAAACTTTAGACCTAGCTGAAGCAGTGAAACAGTCTAGAGCTCTTGAAATGGCTCAAGCTCAAGTCGAGAGCTATTCAAAATCTATGTACGGAATGCAAACTTGTGCATCAAATGAATTGGCAAAGCAAGCTTGTCAGTACGAATTCCAACTACAACAAAAGGAAGAAGCGACTGTGTCCGCTATTAAAAATGTTAATGCCAAGTTTTATTTTTGTGGGCATGACAGGCACTCTAGAGATCGCTGTCCAGTCAGAGAAGCAACTTGTGGGAAATGTAACAAGACAGGACATTATGCAAGAGTCTGTAAAAGTAATCCTACTCAACATTTTAAAGTAAAACAGAAGACATTCTAGCGCAGAGACTCGGTATAAGAAACTCTGCGCTAGAATGGTTCAAAAGCTACCTAACGGGACGTTCACAAGTCGTGGAACTGGAAAACTCATCAAATGAAGTCACAGAAAGTTTCAAATCTTCAAAAAGCAAGCTGACGAGAGGAGTTCCACAAGGTTCTGTATTAGGCCCGATTCTATTCATCTTATTGACTAATGACTTCCCCAAACAAATTGAGAGTGAAAATGCTGTTGCAATTATGTATGCAGATGACACAACCATTTTGATCAAGGACAACACAGCCCAAAGCCTTTACCTTAATTCAAAATCGATCTTAAATAAAGCTATCCTCTACTCAAAGAACAATGACTTAACAATAAACCCCACAAAAACTACAACTCTGAATTTCAGTAAGAAAAAAGATATAGTCCCTCAATTTGACAAGAGGATGTAACAATAGAAAACCACACAAAATTTCTCGGTGTTATCGTTGATAACAAACTAACATGGAAAGAGCACATCAACCACCTAAGCAAAAAAATCAGTATTGAATATATGTCGTCAGAAGAATAAACTACATAGGCGGACTCTCTGTGGCCAAAACAGCTTACTTCGCACTGGTAGAGTCGCATCTTAGATATGGCTTGACAGTGTGCGGAGGAACTTCAACAAAAAATATGAATCGAATTCTTGTCCTTCAAAAGAAAGCCATAAGAGCCCTCGCCAACCTTGTCCCACCACAGACTTGCAGACTAGCATTCGCAAACCTAGGAATCCTCACAGTGGTGTCTCTCTACATACTTGAAACCATAAAGTATGTGAATGAAATAAACCCCCCAAGAAACCAAGACGTGCACCACTACAACACCCGTCATGGCTCCAAATTTGCACTACCAGTTCACCGAACAACTCTTTGGGAGAAAAAAACCTTTTTACACTGGCTGCAAGCTGAGGAACCATCTACCTGACTACCTGAGAGACCTGACTGGCAACAAGCTACACCAGGAGTTGAAGAAGTGGCTAGTCGCAAGACCCTTCTACTCAATAAAGGATTTTACGAAAACTATGGAAATTAACATGTACTATTGTAGTGACACTATTGTAATTCTTAACGAATTAACAATAAAGAATATTGTATTGTATTGTAAGACGTCTAGTACATCAGCTGCACTAATAGCAACAACACATAATACTTCTGTATTGAAGGACTCTACAGTTGAAGCTAGAGTGAATGGCCTGAAAGCAAATTGCTTAATAGACACCGGGAGTACATCAAGCTTTGTAAACTTGAATTTTGTTCAGTTAAACAAAATTAAAATGCATGATGAAAGTGGACAAGTATCGCTAGCTGCTTCCAATATGAAATCAAACGTCCACGGGTTTGTTAAAATCAACCTAAATCTGTTGAATCACAATTACAACAATTTTAAGTTGACTGTTCTTGAAGATCTTTGTACCGACGTGCTTATCGGACATGATATCATGAAACTCCACTCTAATATACAGGTTTGGTTTGGAGGTGAGAAACCTCCTCTGTTGGTGTGCTCCTGTGCCAAAGTTGAACCACCCAAACTATTCTGCAATTTAACTCCAGATTGTAAGCCGATAGCCACAAAATCACGACGTTACTCAGATGAAGACATGCAATTTATAAAACAAGAAATGGAAAGACTACAGACTGAGGAGATCATTGAATCTAGTTCGTCACCTTGGTGTGCACAAGTGTTGGTTGTTACAAATGACAAAGGGAAGAAGCGACTGTGTGCGGACTATTCGCAAACCATAAACAAATTTACTCTTTTAGACGCCTATACCTTACCAAACATAGATGATCTAGCATCCACTGTAGCGACGAATAAGGTTTTTAGTGCCATTGATCTAAAGCAAGCATACTATCAAATACCAATTTCTGACGAAGAGAAGAAGTACACTGCTTTTGAGGCTGCTGGTCGTCTTTTTCAATTCATCAGAAGAATCACTTTTGGTGTAACCAACGGGTGGCTTGTTTCAAAAAGACCATGGACCATATCATTAGAAAAGAAAAACTGAATGGAGTGTATGCCTATCTGGATGATTTGACCGTATGTGGAAAGTATCAAAAGGATCATGATGAGAATCTAAGAACATTTTTAGATGCTATATATAAGTATGGACTTGTAATCAACAATGAAAAGAGCAAGTTCAACCAGTCTTCAATAACTTTGTTGGGACATTTAGTATCCCATAACTCTACTCGCCCTGATCCAGATCGGCTAGAATCTCTACTGTCACTTCCTGTGCCCAAAGACCAAGTTTCACTAAAGCGAGTCCTAGGATTTTTCACTCACTATTCAAAATGGATACATCGGTTTTCTGACAAAATAAAAAACCTGACACAAGTCAATTCTTTTCCATTGTCACAGGAAGCGGTTGTAGATTTTGAAGCCCTCAAACTTGACATTGCAAAATTCAGTGATTACTCATAGGAATGGGCAAGAGCCACTGGTAGTGGAGACGGACGCATCTGACATAGCCGTGACAGCAGAAGAACTACCAATGGAGACTCATCCTTACCATCTTGGCTATCTGCTCCTGGTCCTGTCCTGCTTAGAAAGTTTGTAAAATCTAATAAATATGATGACCTTTTGGAACCAGTTCAACTTTTGGAATCAAATCCACAGTAGCCTACGCTCTCATCAGAAGAAGAGATGGGTCAGAATCACAAGTATCCCTGAGACATCCTGCACCCGCTGGCCTACCTCCTGGTGGTCAACCTCCTGAAGACAACACTACTGAGAGAGAGAATGTTGAAAATATAAATTCAGACATTGACCACAATGAAGTTCAAAATTAAACTCAACAAACGGCATCTCAGACCCCAACTTCGGAGACAGCTTTGGGGGAACTACGTCCAAAGAGGAATGTCAAGCCTCCGTCATATCTAAAGGATTACATATGCTATACCTACCTTGAAAAAAAATGGGGGAGAATGTGGTGATGTGAATATTATCACCTGATAATATTTATTATTTGATTTGTTTGTAAATATTGTATTTGTTCTTAACTAAAACCATAAAACATGGTTGTAATTTTGAATGAATAAAAGCCATACTTTTGGTTTACTAAGTCTTTCTTACAACAATGGTTCAAAAGTGATTGTCAACTAGCCTACTTGTGATTTTTGTTATTAAAAAACCCATAAAAATACAGAAGAATTGGGTTTTAAAACAAAGCTCGAGTGATTTTGGTTAATTTTAGTACTTACTTTATGGCACTTATCATTCTAAATAAAATGGTACAACCCCCCCCCCTGCTGCAAAAAGTAATGGTTCAAGAGTTATTGCAAATTTTGTGAAAATACCATACTTTCTCCGCCCATGCCCATGATAAGGGTTGTTGACAAGCTAATGGGAGAAAGTACGTGTCATATGATATTTTCAGTGCACCTTGGTTGTGAATAAATTTAACTATTCTGAAGCTGTTCAGACTTCATTCTAGTGGTTCTTTATTCACTCTACTCAATTGTAGTGTATCTGTTGTCAAAGGCCAAAGGTAATTAACACTCTTATCTTCTTGTGCTTGTTTCAGTCATTCAAGTGGAGGGAGGAGTGGGGGGTGGATGCTCTGGAGGAGTGGCAGGCTCCAGCAGTGTTTGACCGCTACTTCCCCAGCGGCCTCAGCGGGTATGACAAGGAGGGCTCTCCTGTCGTGGTCCTCCCCTTTGCAGGTGGGTGGAGGAGAATAACATAAGCAACTGATAGGGAGGAATTTTGAACGATTTCTATAGGTACAGATCTAATAATCTTGAAAAACACATGTTACCAACCAAATCTTCAGAGAGGTAGTGAATTTCATCTGTGATGTTTGGTCAGTGATTGACCAACAGAGAACTGTTTGATATATTAATGTACATCAAAGTTTTTTCTCGCGTTTCTGAGTGCCCTTTAAGTAAATTACCCAGACAAGCCATAATCATATTTGTCAATGTCTTAGACTGGGACGGGGGAGTCGTCCTGTAATCCAGCTACTAGGAGGTCACTAATTATGGATATTTATAGGCATGCACTGTGGATGCGATACTCCCTGGTTTGGACTAACGTCCGCACTAGTGAGTACTATGACTATCCGCACTACTACCTGATAATTAGACCAATTCGTTAATACCAAGGCAACAATGTGGTTCGGATTCCACTATAAACTGTAGGTCCCTTAGTTGCCATTAGCTGTATGGGCTATTAATTAAAAGCTGTGTCTAAGGAATATGTCGGCCTTAGTCACCAACAAAGACTACAAGATCTCATACTACACTCATCTCCATTCATACTTGGCTTAAAATACCTTCATTGTATAGTCGCCATTTCAATAAAAAGTATTAAAGTATTAAAAAAGAATAATCCATCTTGTGATGTCATCAAGCGAATCTGGAGGACATAAAAACAGGAATAAAATCAGTGGCGTAACAGAAGGGCCCGCAGGGCCCGCGATGCGGGGGGGCCCGGGAGCTGAGGGGGCCCGCGAACCGGTGAGCGGGAAACGGTGAGCAGAGAGGCCCGTGAGGCGAGTGGGGCCGAAAAGTTGGAGTCCATTCTTATTTAAATGTATTATCAATCATTCAGTAATTGTATTGAACAAGTAATAACATTGATGTTATTAATAATATGTTGTTATCAGTTATCGTTTAATTTTGTTAGGCCTCTTCAGTGATAACGAACTAGGGTGACAAATTTAACGTGTTATAACGTGGGTCTTTGATTATTATGCAATCTTACTTTTGTCACCGAGAAATATTTTACTTCTCGGTGATTTCGTACACTGCTTATGTCGTCTGCAAACATTTTGTTATTTTGGAGCCTGGAGTCATGAACGTTGGCTGGGGCTTTTAATATTGTATTATTTTACATTTTAGTTTTGTCCTAATATTGATTGTATTTTGTTAAATACAATATACTGCTACTCTACTGACTTTGTTTGTTAACCCATATCTTATTTTACCTCACAATTAACCAATACCACAGAAAACATACTACTAAAGACATTTGTTGTAAGAAAAACGCTTACAACGTAATAAGACGCTTGAAATCCATACAAAGATAAAATAAAAATGCAATGGGCTATTTTAGCCTGTGATAAAAGTACGTCAATATATTAAATTAACCAGCTTTTAGTGTATGAGTTAATTATAACCAAAGATTAAACTAACCTAATAAATTAATACTTTCCCATCCTTCAGTCATATTTGAATACGCACATAGTGGCGCCCCATCTTAAATAATTGATTGTTTTACTTTAATACTTTACTTTGAAATGGCGACCATACCAATGTAGGTATTGTATTTTAAGCCAAGAATTAATGGAGATGAGTGTAGGATGAGTAGCCCAACCTTTTAGTTTTGAAAGGGACTAAGTCCGACATTTATAGACACAGATGTTAATTAATAGCCTAGACAATACAGCAAAAGGCACCTAAGGGGGTTAATAGGGGAATTCGAACCACATTTTTGCCTTGTAATTAACGAATTAGTCCAATTATCAGGGTAATAAAAATTGATAACATGTGTGATAAATTAAATGTAAAATTTTTAACCTCCTTGATTTAAACATTCTGATAGACGGATGGAAAATAAGGTTTTTTATTTGATTTCAAAACTATATACAAACACTAGTATTGATATAGTTAATGATGTAGTGATGTAACACTTTCATCAAACCAAGACTGAAATACTTAACACATTCCTTTATGGACATGACATAACCCATAATTTAATATTTTAATTTTTAATTTAATATTTTTTCATAATTTATTTACCACTCTTTTTATGATTAATCTGTTTGATCATTGTATCGGTGGTCCAAAAATAACCCTGGGGGGAGGGGGACTGCATTTAATTATGTTGTATCGGTGGTCTAAAAATAACTCATGAGAGGGGGCCCAAAAAATAAGTTTGCAGGGGGGCCCGTAACAGTTTGTTACGCCACTGCCGTTTTCAAATGTGAGACAAACTGTCATTGAGCTGAGGGCTGCGGTTTGCATGTGATGCGCTGTGAGCCCAGGAGTTAATCACACCCCTTTCCACCTACCTTGAGGGTAAATTTGTCTTCTCCTTGCTTCCACAACAAACCCAAAACCCTGGACCGGGGTCCACACAGAGCCGGTTTATAAAAACGTATTCCATAGACCTTGGCATAAGTAACTTAAAAGTATTTGCAGCTTAGCATAGTTTTTTATATAGGCCTAGAGGTTGAATTGCCCATCCACATAGGCTTTGGACCTGATCGTGGAACGTATCCAGTAAAGCAAGGGGTGATTCAGGACAGTACAATGGTGAACTGTACTGATAAAAATTAGTGGCCAGGTACCAGATCCAAACCCATGACATATAGCTGCCTAGGCCCGTTCCTACCGAATGAGACACCAACTATCACTCCAAAGAATAAATTAGGGGGAGGGGTAGTTTAAATAGAGGTTGGGTCATTGCATGTTTTTTTGGTGAATTTAACAACAAACCACAGCAAACCTGTAGACCAAGAAAATTTCCATTCGCTGGATTGGATTTTCTATATTCTATTATCTCTATTTATAACATTGGGGTTAACAAGAACCTAGGTTTCTATACAGGTATCTATACAGGTAGGGTAATAATAAAGTTTATTCTTAAGTAAAATAATAATATCTTAGTACAAAAAAATAAATTTGCAAAGTTTGAACAAAAATATATTTAAACAAGCAAACTACAACAGATTTATTTATTCTCCATAAGAATAACCGTAAAAATACACTTCAATATAAAAAATAATTTGTTTAAAAACTCTTTAAAATGGTTTAAAGAGATATTGGGAAATTATGTGTTTCGAGGGTCAAAAATGAGAAATCCTAAATTTCACTCCATAAAACCTCCCACGAAACCCCATTCCCATGGTCTGATCATTCTGGTTCGCAAACTCATTCAAGTTTATTCCACTCCACGTCTTCAAGCGATTATATCAAGATCGTGAAAAAATACTGAAGTTTATCACGTTTGTACCTGTATATCTACAAAAATTTTAACGAATAGTGTTTTTGGGCTTTAGGAACAACAAAATGAAAAAGTATAATATATCATTCCCGGGTGTATTGGTAATAGCTACTTCTCCTATAAAGAAATTTGCTAATACTTCCCTATAGGGAAATCCGCTACAGTTAATTAATTCTCTTCTTAGAAAAGTAAACTGATGTAATAATCAGTGGTGGATTTAGGGGGGGGGGGGCTTAAAGGGCTGCATCCCAGGACGGCAAATTTTCTAAGTAGGTTTTTTTTTAATTTGAAATCTCAAAAGTATGTTGAGTTTAATTTAAAAATAAACTACATAACTAGAAAGAGTAGAGGGTTGAAAATGAAACAGAAAAGTAACTACTTAGTCAGACGTATTGTTAATGATCAAATCTTTGCACATTCAGTTGTATCGTTTACTTATCGTTCAGTTGTGTATTTAAATTGTGTATGTTTTGAATTTATTTGCTCCCAGTATTGTCAAATAGTAGGGCGGTGAGGCTATCAAACTTTTTATTTTAAATCAATAAAATTGCATTTGCATAACAAATAATTAATAACCTCAAATCAAACTACGTTTGGTATTCCTGATCTTTCTGGACTTTTCTTTTAAACCTTCCTAAACCATTCCTGTAATCATGTTAATAAATAACAATAAACTACCTTACAAAAGTTTTTCTTTAAGGCACGGGAACCCCGACCACTTTCGGAAGTATGCGGAACTACTTTCTTAAGACGCGGAGCACATCGCACACCAAGAAACAAGACTTGATACGGATCTGGATCCTGGATCTTTTGAAACAATAATGTTATTGAGGCATGTGAGGAAGATATATCGTGGTTTTTGCGGTTTTCAGGCTGCATTAAGTGTTTTGAAGTTAGGGTAGATTAGGAAAGATAAAGTGTAGGTTATAGGTAATCGGACGTTTACACCCATATTATTTTTATCTTTTGGAATAAACTGTTACTTACCGGTAACAAGACAATTTCTGAAATTCTTGCATTTTTGAAATTGTCTTGTCACACGGTTGGGGGGGGGGGGGCAATTGTGGATAGCCCAAATCCTCAAATCCGCCTCTGGTGATAATTATTAGTAAGTATACTTCACTCTGACAAAATTTGTTCCTTTATTTCCCATTCTCTTTATCGTTGTTTTCGGCTTTGAAGTTTGAACTATACTTTTTTAATCCAAATTATAAAGTAACTGTGTTCTATAGGTATGGATATCTGGGGTATGCTGCACACTGTCACTAAGACAGACATAATCAAGGCCACAGCCAGACAGTTGGAGAGATTCCTGGCTGAGGGACGTAAGCAAGCCAAGATCCACGGACCTCAGGCGGCTCAGCTGGTGGGGGTCATAGACATGACAGACTTCAACCTGAGGCAGTATGCTTGGCGACCAGGTCAGTAGTCAGTACCAATGATAGAATTTGTCTGAAATGCACTGCATAGTAGAACCTCCATCAACCGTCACCCCGCAACAGACCTAGAATTTGTTTAAATGTGAATTTATTTCACTCTACGAACATTGAACAAGTACAACATTTAAAATAACAGTTCTGTATTATACTTATGTAAGTAATATAAATAAACATATGTATTATATTCACTTGTACAGGGTTCAATTTCTTCAAAATCCTTTTAAATAAACTTTCTGTGCAAGTTTATATAACAGGATTTCAGTTATCCGTCTATTCGCTTAACCCTTCGTTAGTGTTTTTTATTATAAAACATGATCGGTGACACACAGAGTTTTTTCACAGGTGTTGACACATTAGACAAACAATGTTTGTCATACAAAAATTAATTTTAAAACCTATTAAAACCATGTATAATCAATAAAACTGTACATGAAATTAATAACAACTCCTACTTAACACATTTACACATAGAAAAAAAACAACAACACCATCGGTGACTCACGGAGCCGAGGCGACTCTTCGGGCTTCGACCAATTGATAGGGGTTTTGCAGCGGAGGTGTGAGATCAAAATAATGTTCTAAATCGGTTTCTAGAAAGGTACACGTGAGGTGTACTGTTACTCCTAAAGCTGCCCGGTGATGATATCACATATTTTTCTATAAAAACAAATTCGCCCTGAGTGAAATTCCGTGGTGTCACGGATGAGGGTTCACTGTCACGCTCCCAGTCGCAAGGGTGAAGAAGTTAATAGAGGTTCTACTGTACACGTATATACCGTATGTACAAAACATTTTTAGAAGGTTGTTTTTAAGACTCCATTAATCCCCAGTCAAAGCTGTCACTTAACAAGCTTGATTTAGTGAAACACTAGTGCTGTGATGTTGTGTTCTTTATTACTTCCCAGACTAATATTCTAGCCGCTTACCAGGTTGGGCGTCCTGGTAATCCGAATCAAAATGGGCAACCCCAATATAAGACCTTTATCAACCAATTGTTTACAAATTTTTAAAATTACACAAAAAAACCATAAATTTACATTACGTAAAGTAAATGTATTAACCAAAATTTGTTAAATCAACGATTTCGTATAAACATTTTTCACATTTTCCGGAGAAAGACCCCTGAACTCTCTTTTTTACTAGGTTATGCCGTACCCTCAAGTTCCCCATCCCCCTTTATGGAACAGTTAGATGGGTACCATGCTTACCAGCCCTACGTGACAAACAGTTTGTTTGAGTAGTTGATAACAATGTGAGGGAAAGTCAACAATCATGATAAGTATAAAGCCACAGGGAAGAGAGTAAGCCTACTTAAAGCTTATGATGTAGAAAATGGTCCATATTCCAGGCTTAAGTGGCAAAACCCTTACAAAAATTCATAATACAACAGTGTTTAGTGGTAAGAAGGTAGTTAGATCTTTTTTATTGGTAATGTTAAATACCAAAACGGAATTGGAATGTAAGAAACAATAAAAATAAATGTAATAAATAAATTTACAGAAACATTGACTATGAATATCCTCTCACACCATTCTACACCTATCATTCACTCATATTTGGGTTAAAATACGCACCTAGGTGGCGTCCCCATCTTAATGTATGTGCCATTAGCTGTATGGGCTATTGATTAACAGCTGTGTTTAAGGAATATGTCGGCCTTAGTCACTAACAAGACTACAAGATCGCGCCACTCATCCTATACACTCATCTCCATTCATATTTGGCTTAAAATACCTACTTTGTATGGTCACCCATTTCAATAAAAAGTATTAATTAATCGATAATTGAAACGATAGTTTTTTTTTTACTATAATCAATCATAATCAATATCTAAATATATAAAAGGCAAAGCCCTCACTGACTCACTGACTGACTGACTGATTCACTCACTCACTCATCACTAATTCTCCCACATCCCATTTACCTAGGAGGCTGAAATTCGGTACACTGATTCTTTGGGCATTAAATAGGAAAACTAAGTAGTTTTTATTCTGATCGGACTCTCGGGCTCCGCCCCAGAGGCTCTGGAGTTTCCCATGTTAACCTTATGATTTTTCATATTTGAAAGGAATTAATGAATCCAGGACGTGATTGTGGCATGCAAATACGAATATGAAGTTAAACAGGGCAAAGCCCGGGGGTACAGCTAGTTATAGATAAATGAAATGCATCCAGTACCAGTATTGATGTTGAATGGAGAATTGTTTGGCTTAAGTGATGATTTGTGATTGTTGTTTTTGTTACAACTATGTATTTTTCTCTATAATAAAAATAGTCAACCATAAGTTGTTGAAAAAACAACAGAAAATAGAACATCTTGGCTTCGTTTCTACAGCCAAAGTTCAGGGCATCTGTCAATAGTAAAACAGTAATGTAAAACATTTGTTTAAGATAAATAATGTTATTTTGTTTCTATTAAAACGTGTCTTTGGCAGCTGGAGAGCTAGTAGTCAGCATGCTCCAAATGTATGAAGCCAACTACCCTGAAATCCTCAAGGCCTGTTTCATTGTCAATGGTAAGTTGATATTATTATCCACCTTCCTGTCCATTATGTTGGGAGGGAACCTGAAAGCCGTGTTTACACAAAGCCAGTTGGCGGGCAGGTTGCTTGCCTCAGGTATAACTGTTAGACGACACCTGCCCCATAACCTGCCCGGCCTCATGTAAACGCGGCGTAGAGATTTTTGTAACCAAACATTGAAAAAACAAAGATATGTAAAGGGTGATCCAGTTAGAGGTTACAATTTAAAAATTAAATAATACGTATTGTAGTTTACTTACAAGGTATTTTTTTATTTATACACATTTATTGAAGATTGACATTACACATGGAAAATAATATCCGTCAAATGACCGCCCTGCAGTGTGAATCCCTGCAGACTACAGCCCTTTTGATGAAATTTTCCATCACTTTCTCGATAATTTGTTGTGGAATTTGATGGATTACTCTGCGAATCTCGTCCTTCAGCTCCAGAATCGAGTTGGGATTGTTTGCGAAAACCTTCTACTTCAAATATCCCCAAAGGAAATAGTCCATTGGTGTGAGGTCACATGGTCTTGCTGGCCAATGCTGATCACCGAAACGAGAGATTAAACGGCCGGGAAACTTTGTGTGCAACAACTGCACTGTTTCTCGTGCTGAATGACAAGTGGCCCCATCTTGTTGAAACCACAAGTCGTTCAACTCGTTATTGACAACCAATTATTCCAACTGCTGCCAAAAATAATCGCTTATCATCTCCCGATAACGTTCTCCATTGACTGTAACTGCATCGCCATGGTCATTTTCAAAAAAGTATGGGCCAATCACGCCGCCAACCCACAATCCACACCAAACAGTTACCTTTTTTGGATGCATTTCTTTCGGGTGAATAGCATAAGGATTTTCAGTTCCCCAAATGCGGCAGTTTTGTTTGTTAACATAGCCGTTGATATACAAATGAGCTTCATCAGAACAGATAATTTTGTTCACAAAATTTTCATCACGTTGATTATTCTCCAACACCCAGTTAACAAATTCAAGCCTCTGTTGGTGATCTCCCGGTTTCAATTCTTGTGTCAATTGGATCTTGTACGCATGCAAATGTAGATCTTTAGTCAAAATGCGCTGAGTTGTACCGTAGGAAAGGCCTAATTGCTGGGAACGATGACGAATTGAGGTTGACGGATTTTCTCGAACACTGGCACTTGTTGCAGCGATATTTTCCACTGATCGGCCACTCCGAGGGTGTACTGGTCTTTTAACATCTAATCTAACACTGAACCCGTCACATTAAATTTATCAATCAGTTTTCTAATCGCCGCACGTGATGGACGGTTATGGTTACCAAAATCATTTCGCAGTGCTCGAATCGTGTTAGTAAAGTTTTTCCCATTTTTAAAAAAGGTTTTTACAATTAAAACACGTTCTTCATTCCAATAACGCTCCATAACAACAAATGTATCTTGCATACGGAACCAGTGCTACCAACTTAAAATTGTAACCTCTAACTGGATCACCCAGTAGTTGACATTTTCTTGGGAACGTAAGTATAGTTTTAATTAAACTCAAAGAGAACATGTTTTTATATTTTTGTTTACTTAGCTATCTAAACTTATTCTGATAGTGCATGGGTTTTTTTTGTTTTACTTACATTGTTGTATATTATACCTCCATTAGTGGCTATGTCTATAGAAATGTAGTAAGAGGGGTGGTAAACATGGAGATTAGGAAAACTAATTCTTGTTAGATAGCTGATATCTTGCTTAAATTCTAGTAATCAACCACCACTATGATTACTAATAACACCATTAATTAACCTGTGATTGGTTTGAAAACTATTTGTATAATTTATTTTTGTAAAAAAATACAACCGACTTCAAACGCTCTAAAAAGAATGAAATAATTTCAATAAAGTAAACTTTTGTATTAGGCAAGCTCATGTATTTTAAGTAGGTGCGGCTCTATGATGATTTTTGATACAAAATTGAAAGAGGGTGTCCATATTGCAGGTGACTATCTATAACTAAAGTTGTTAATCTGCATGTCTTTTTCATAGTTATGCGTTAAGTGTTATTTTATTACCGTAATCAGAGATCGTCATTATAGTGGTATTAACGAGCATCTTTAAAAAGATTATAACGCATTTAAATGTTTCTAACATGGAAAAGTAACGTTTTAATACCAAACTAGCTTCTTTTCCCTATCATAATATCAAACTAAATTATTTTCCTATTCATATAGAACATTTGTGTGTATGCATTTATTCTGAAGTAAACATAAAATACAAGAAAATATTTCCTTTAATATATAAACAAAACAGTTCAGTATGTTTTATATATATTTATGTTATCCAGCTGCAATTTATTGATTTTCAAAATACACACACAATATTTAATTTCAATCATATTTGCAGTTTGAGCCGCGCCGACTTGAAATACGTGATCTTGCCTAATACATAAGTTTACTTTATTGAAATTATTTCATTCTTTTTAGAGCGTTTGAAGTCGGTTGTATTTTTTTACAAAAATAAATTATTTCATGATTTTTAGTGACTGTATAATTTTTTATATATTAATTACTTGAGGTTTTTGACAAGCAAAACTATTTGAAACAATCAAAAGTTCCACAGAACAATCATTATTTTAAAACTGCTTGAGTCACCTGTTCAGGTTACAATCAATGGGTATGAAAATGAACATTTTTAGATATTCCTTAAGAAATAAAGTGTTGTCCATTACATTAGGCCTAATGAAAAACTAATTGTCTTTTCTTGATACATTGAAATGTCAGACATCATCAATTCCTGAAATCGGTGTGCTTCTACATTATAAAAAGAAATACAGTAACGTCTCAAGCGTTTTGGAACAATATGAAAGTTATTCCTCAGCTACCAGCACTAAAAAATCACTCAAAAGTGGAAAATTGGTTGATAACACGTATAGTACCTTTGGAAAATATTATATGAAAGATTGGTTCAGCTAAAAGTGGTGTAAGTCATGTAGGGGGTTTTGTTTGCTCAAGATATAGCCTAGTCGAAATTGCAAATCATCTTCCTCTAGGACTTTCCGAAGCAGGCATAATATTATTGATATGTTATAGTAACTGGGTAGAGAATATATTACTAATATTATCAGAAAAACATAAATATATAAATATAAATATATAAATAAATAAATAAATAAAAATATAAATAATATTATCAGATCAAACGTTAAAATACATTTTTTATAGTAACCAAAACAAAATGCATGGCAAGAAATAGTTTATTGATCAATATGAAGCAACTGTTTCATGAGGAATTGTCTCTAGCTTCATTTAAATGGTTTCAACTAACAGCTGTAGGAATGTTATCATTATTTATTGCCTTCTCTGCACAAATGTAAAAAATCTGCACAAATGTAAACAAAATAAATGTTGAATATTTAAGGTTTTCAGAATTTTTCACCGAAACAAATATTATACTTAAACATAATATATAAAAAAGGTACCAAATAGAAACTCTCCTGGTTATTTTGGTGGTGAAACCACACTGATCGGTAAAAGAATCACAGAGAAATTGGTGAACATACATAGAAAAAAAAACATCGCCACAAACAAATTGAGAACCTCCTCTTTTTGTTGGTAGTGGGGAAGTCGGTTAAAAATATAAGCACTCTCATTCTATAAGTTCATTTTAATTTATTATTAATACGCTTTTTACTATTATATACATTTTACCAGTGCTTGATTTGCAGGGAACGCGGTGAATTGGAGTCTGATATTATCTTTTGAAAAGATAAAAATATTTACATAATTAAATAGGTTTTTATCTAATTAGGCCTAATAGGCCTGGTATTTATCTAATTAAATAGGTTACAGTTCTGGTACCTCATATTTTACAAATCGAGCACTGTTTACTTTGTGCGATAATCACTTTTTATCTATGTTTCCTGGCACATATATCTATTGACTTTAGTTTCACTTTCCTTTGACAAAAAAACTATAAAATAACAACTTACCTTTTGCAGTCCCAAAGGTGTTTGCATTGGCATTCTCAATTGTCAAGAACTTCCTCAACGACATCACTCTCAGCAAAATCCAGATTTACAAGACAGACCCCAACAAGTGGAAGCCTGTATTGCTCAATCAGATCCCTGCTGAACACTTGCCTCGTCACTTTGGTGGTGATCTAGTGGACCCAGACGGTGACCCCAAGTGTCCTTCTAAGGTACAGTCATTCAGAAAACTTGTTTGATTACAAATAACATAACATTTGTATATACAGTACCACCACCAAATATAAAGTTGACATAAAAAGTTAGTCCTGGAAATCACCATTGCAAAAAATGCTTCTAACTTAAAAAAAAATGTTTAACTCTCAGCAGTCTCAAAGTGATCGATCTTCCTCCTAGGAGACTTCCCAGGGTATACATAGCTTATGTGTGACCTGACAACATGGGTAGGACTAAAATTTGGCGCAGTGAGTGACGCAGAGTGCCAAACCATGAATCAATTCAATGATTGCTTTCTGTGAATGCCCGGTCTGCATAGTAAGAGTACAAACTAGAGTAGCTGTGTAAAAATTCAGCAGGACTATGCTTGCCTAGTGACTTAGACTTAGGTGCTTTGTGAAGGGGAAATGTGAAGTTATTATATCAACAGCATTTTTGGACCAGCTTTGTTTGTTTTAGCCAGAATATGATATCAACGGTGAGACCCCCAATGAGATCATTAAGTTGAAGGCTATTAGAGTACCTGAGGTTTGCAACAAGGCATTTTCGAATGCAGATGTTTGTAAAGACTATTCTGAAACCTTGTTAAAACTAGGTTTAAGAGAACATTAAGTAGATATGGTTTCTAAAGGTGTATGAACAATTTTACTGTGTTGTTATATTAATTGAAGATTGGTTTTTGTTGTAATCTGTACAGAGGAAAAAATGAAAAATAGAGCTACAGAATCATTTGCTATATTTTTTCAAAAATTGCAAGGCATAAACACATTTTTGTTTTAGATCAACCAGGGAGGAAAGATACCCAAGTCTATGTATGTACGCAAGAGTGATCGTCTAGCTTCAGAAGGTAAAGAGAGTTACTGCATCGTCACTGTCAAGAAAGGCGAGAAGCTGCGACTCAACTATCTAGCGGCAGAAGAGGGTTCTCAACTCAAGTGAGTCATAAGCTTACAGATTTCTAGACATTTAAATTTTTACCACTGTCAATGCGAATGAAAATGTTCCTTGTTGGTCTCTTTTGATTGTTGAATATCTAATTTGGTCAATTATTCACTCAACTGTTCATGCCAGATGGGGTTTCTACAGCGACGGCCATGACATAAAGTTTGGAGTGTCCAGCAGAGATGAGGAAGGTAAAGAGACGATGCTGGTTCCAATACATCGCGTGGCATGCCATCAGACTGAGGAGACTGGCACTCTGACCTGTCCGGCACCTGCCACCTTGTGTGAGTACCCCTTGTAGTTATGACTTCTCAAAGGAAAAACTAAATTAAATTCAAACACCCCCCAAAACTCTACGACAGTCCATCTTTGGAACAAAGTACAGAACAATTTGAATATAGAAAAATCCTTAAAAAACAGTCCAATAAAATGTTGCTAAGATTGGAATATGGAGAATAATACAAACATTTTACTGCAGCCTACTTTTGGCCAACGATGTGATTTGTATATTTTAATGATCCAAACCATTGTTTGTTCTTATATCTACTGTAATTGTTTTCCGTATGTTGTAACAGATATATGTTGTTCTTATATTGAGCAGAGATAAAAATGGTTCACTGTTACCGGTACCCAATTTGACAGAACTAAACTGGTTAAATAGATACTTCACTATATTTGAGCCAATTGATTAGCTTTCTTGATAAGAGGTAGTCGATTAGAGCAGCGCTCGGCTTGATGAGAGGAAGTATAATATTGGATCATTCCAAAACCAATATGTGATTTCCCCAAAACATATACCGGGTGTCCCACAATAGTCCCCTGCTTAACTTTTGAACGGCGCTGCATATATTCAAACGAGCTTCGATACACGTGACTAGGGTAATGTAAAGTACTTTTTGGTGGTATTTTGAAATTCACCCCCCACCACCTAAATAGGGTTTGCTGAGGGTAAGTTAAAACTTTTAAATGACAACCCCTATTTCAAAGAATCTTGAGTACACGTGACCAGGGTGATGTCTCACACTTTTTACATGATTTTGAATTCACCCACCCCCTACTCTCAAATAGGTGTTGGTATTAAAAACTAAAAACCCCATCAGCAACCCCTTAGTTTGACCCAGGTGATGACATTCAAAATCATGTTAAAAAAGGGTTTTAAGTGGGCCAATGTCAGACTTTTTGATCTACAATGTTTACAAATAAATATAACTAGTGTACCTGTTGCTCAAATTCGAGCAATTGCGAAGCATTACAGACGTGTTTTAAAACGAATTACGGTCATAATTTCCGATGACTTTATAAAAGTCGACTCTAAGATTGTGGAAATACTCACGATGTACACAACAGTTAGATATAATCAAAATTGTTCGTAAATATCTTATCTTTTTTCAAAAGCTAATCTTGTTTTTTAGAGTTTTCTACAAATGTTTCCCACTCATAGCCGCATTAGGTTCTCTATAATAACGATTACAAAATGAAGAAAAAACATTATTTCTATATTTATTCTACTTGGTTGTGTTCTATGACTTTCTTATGTTTCCATTGTTTACAAATCGTCTCTTTCAATGATTGCTCAAGAAATGTAGCACAGTGTTAATTCAGTTTTATTTTTAGTAGGCCTATATCAAATTGTCCAGGATTTCTCGCTTTTTTCCATTGTAATAATTACACCAACCCAAGTATCGTCTACAGATGCAATATGCCAAAGAATATCATCTACGTGCAACACGCCTACGTACAATCTCCAAGAAGTGGTAAAAAAAAGGCAAAAACCAACCCATACAATAGACATAAGTTAACTCCATAAGAAATAATTTTAAGAGTTATTGTGATACAGTACAGTATTAGGATTTTTCCACTGATTTGGCAATAGAACATTATAGTGTAAAACATGACACGACGCAGAAGAAAATTGATTTTAAAATCAGAAAAAACCATTGCAAATACTTCATTTTGACGAATTCAGTAAATCACAATTTAAATATTAACAGCTATTTTATTAAAAAGTAGTGTAAAATTATACACATGGTCATAATGTAAACAAATCTGCTGAGGGGACTTTAAAGGCCTCTGGGGCAGAGCCCCAAGGGAATTTACTTCATTTCTCTTTTGATGGCTCATCTACAGACCAAGACCTTTCTTTAGAGACCCCTACCAAGTTTCTACGCTCAGCCGTTCTCTCAAATTAGCTGTGACAAAAACCCGTTCCCCCCCCTTAAAGAATAATATGGGATGGGAATTTAAAGGCATGGTGTCTACTCTCTGGGAAATTCGGGAAAACCGGGAAAACTCCGGGAATTTTTCCTTACCTTGAACCCAGACCTCCGGGAATCTGGAGCCCGGTCATCGGAATCGTCTGCTAACAGAAACACTACCGCTTTTGTTGCCAAAATTGAAACGAGCATTGGAAGCATCGGAAACGATTATCGGTGTCACCGAAACCGCAAGATATGCTGACGGGTAATGCCGCGATCGCGGGAGACTATTATCGGTGTCTCCCAAATCGCGAAATATGCACACGGGTGTTGCCGCGATCGCGGGAGACGATTATCGGTGTCGCCGAAACCACAGGATATGCTTACGGGTATTGCCGCGATCGCGGGAGACGATTATCGGTGTCGCCGAAACCGCGAGATATGCTTACGGGTGTTGCTGCGATCGCGGGAGACGATTACAGCTCGTGACACCTAAGCTGGCACTTGGCCTAGCGCGGGCAGTGTAGGCGGGAGGAGGGTGGAGGTAGGGAAAAGACCGGACTGCAAACATTTCCGCTGCCTCACGGGGTTGACTCCCCTTGTATTATGTACTTGAGCGCCTTCATATGGGTCGCGAGGACAGTTTATGCAACCCGCATGACGAGACATAATGTTTTTGAAAAAGGTACTATTAGCGATCGGCCAAGTGCCAGCTTAGATGTCACGAGCTGTACCGGTGTCGCCCAAACCGCAAAATATGCACACGGGTGTTGCCGCGATCGCGGGAGACGATTATCGGTGTCGCCGAAACCGCGAGATATGCCTACGAGTGTTGCTGCGATCGCGGGAGACGATTACCGGTGTCGCCCAAACCGCAAAATATGCACACGGGTGTTGCCGCGATCGCGGGAGACGATTATCGGTGTCGCCGAAACCGCGAGATATGCCTACGAGTGTTGCTGCGATCGCGGGAGACGATTACCGGTGTCGCCCAAACCGCAAAATATGCACACGGGTGTTGCCACGATCGGGGGAAACGATTCTTCGTGTCGCTGAAATCATAAAATATGCGAACCTGTTTTGCCGCGATCGGTTGCAGGTTTTGACGAGACTGTAAGATGTGCTCACTGGTATTCCCACGATCGCGGGAGATGATAACTGGTGTCGCCTTACCTACCAGTTATACTGTTTTACTATGTTGTATAAAATATTATTCTTTGGAAAAGTTTTTCTTCAAATAAAAATAATTAATAATTATTACCGGGCTGCGATTAGTTGAGCGGGTTCCGATAATAGTTAAGAGCTATTATCGGAACCCGCTCAACTAATCGGTCGAATTTGTCTTGAATTCTCCTGGAAAACTCCTTGAATTTTTCAAAACCAGGTTTAGTAGACACCATGAAAGGCCATTGGGCAGAGCCCCAAGGGAATTGACCACGTTTCTCTTTTGATGGCTCATCTACAGACCAAGCCCTTTCTTTAGACACCTCTACCGAGTTTCTACGCCCAGCCGTTCTCTCAAATTAGCTGTCACAAAGTAGTCCAGTCAATGAATGCTCAAAAGGGGCGTGTAGAGGACATGGAGAGGGGGAAATTTTTTTTCTGCGGGAATGTGTTCGGGGTAGTTAGAAGATAAAAATACCAAAAGTCCCCGCCCCTGGCCCTGCTGCTTCAGCGGGGGGAGGGGGGGAAAGACCCCATTTTTTTGTTTTTTACTTCTACACTGAAAACCGTGCATTGTACGGAAAAAATGTAAATTATAAAAAGAAAGATGATGAAATTCTCTACAAGAATGGTCGTATTCATTTTTCCGTATATGCATTGGTTTAAAAGATATTCTCAAAATAATATAAAAATTCTTAAATTAATTGATTTTTCAAGCATTTTTTGTCAAATAAGTTTATATAATCCATTAGCCTGTTGTTGTTTCACATCAATCAGGATAGAAAACAGGTTTTTGAACACTAACCTATATAATATAATATATCAATCGTATAAATTGTGTTAAAAATAGTTTATATAAATTTAAATAAGTTATATATATTTGTCATGGAAACAAGTAATTTTGGCATAATTATTACATTAAAAATTAAAAAGATTATGTTTGTAGCTATATTTGTCCAGGTTTATTTATAACAATTACCAAAACCAAGACTTAATATTATTGTTCATGGTCTGGCTCACTTGGGACGAGAGGGTCCGACTTCTGTCCCAAAAACTGGTGCCATCTGGAACTGAAAACCACCATCTAGGACATCTCCATCATTCAATTCTTGTTGATTAGACTCAATATTGGCTATCAAAGTGAGAATTCGGTGTAGGCCTGTATATTCTTCATCTTCCTCATTCATCAGAATGGGAATTTCATGTAAAAAGATCCCTTAGCAGTTCTGGCATAACGGAGAACACTTATTGGACATTTTCTCGCATGCACAAATTGCACATCAGGCACTGTTATAATCTTAAGTACATTTGCAAAAAACTTGGTTAAGGGATTAACTGTTCCTGGTTACTATAATTTTGGTGTCTCTGTTCAAGTGAATATCTACTGACTAGTGGCGGTCCCTTGGGGGGGGGGGAGTTCCGATTAGAAACTATCTTTGTATATGATATAGTATAGTTTAAATTTATTAGTCCAGTGCAATTAGGTTATGACCCGGACAAAATTGATAACAGGCTGAAAATTGGTGGAAATGTTCAAAACAATGTCCTGAGTGGCCCACACAAAGTCCCAAGAAATCCCAGTTGGGGAACGGCCGCCATTTTGAAAAAACTGCCGCCATCTTGGAAATTTAGATTTCTTGCTGTATCTTTTGAAGTAATTGTCCGAAAGACCTTATTTATGTCTCAAATTAAACGTTTTGGGCTCATGTATGAGGGTATATATATGTCCCCCCCTTTTATACGAATTGTGGATATTTATAGGCATGCAAGGTGGATGCGATACTCCCTGGTGTGGATTAACGTCCACACGGGTGAGTACTACGACTATCCGCAGTCAGTACTATCCTGATAATTAGACCAATTCGTATATACCAAGGCAAAAATGTGGTTCGGATTCCACTATAAACTGTAGGTCCCTTAGTTGC